CCCATCCCAGAAAAATCCCATCCCAGAAAAATCCCATCCCAGAAAAATCTCATTCCAGAAAAATCCCATCCCAGAAAAATCCCATCCCAGAAAAAACCCATCCCAGAAAAATCCCATCCCAGAAAAATCCCATCCCAGAAAAATCTCATTCCAGAAAAATCTCATCCCAGAAAAATCCCATCCCAGAAAAATCTCATTCCAGAAAAATCAGGGGAAATCCCATTCCAGAAAAATCAGGGGAAATCCCATTCCAGAAAAATCCCATTCCAGAAAAAACAGGGGAAAATCACATTCCAGAAAAAATCAGGAGAAATCACATTCCAGAAAAATCTCATTCCAGAAAAATCAGGGAAAATCCCATTCCAAAAGATCAGGGAAAATCCAGTTCCCAACCCTAAAAATCCTCTGGAAGCAGGAAAATCTGATTTTCCCATTATTGATTTCCCATGATTTTTTTCTATGATTTTTCCCGTGATTTTTCCATGATTTCCCTGTGATTTTCCCATGATTTTTCCATGATTGATTTCCCATTATTTTTCCATAATTTTCTTGATTTTCCCATGATCGATTTCCCATGATTTTTCATTATTTTCCTGTGATTTTCCCATGATTTTTCCAAGATTTCCCTGTGATTTTCCCATGACTGATTTCCCATTCTTTTTCCATAATTTCCCCATGATTTTCCCTCCCGTGATTTTCCCATGGTTTTCCCACTATTGATTTCCCATTATTTTTCCATTACTTCCCCGTGATTTTTCCCTGATTTTCCCATTATATTCCCATGATTTTCCCATGACTGATTTCCCATGATTTTTCCATTTTTTTTCCCATTATTTTCCCATTATTTTCCCACTATTGATTTCCCATTATTTTTCCATAATTTCCCCATGATTTTCCTGTGATTTTTCCATTATTTTCCCACTATTGATTTCCCATGATTTTTCCATTTCCCCCCATGATTGTCCCATAATTTTCCCTTCTTTTCCCATGACTGATTTCCCACGATTTTTCCATTGTTTTCCCCATGATTTCCCCGTGATTTTTCCATGATTTTCCCACGATTTTCCTACAATTCTCCCCAAGGTTTTCCCGCCGGTGGGCTCACCGCAAATTCCAGGAAGCCAAAAACTGCCAAGAAAAATGAGGAAAAACCAGGAAAAAACCAAAAAAAACCCCCAGGGAAAACCAGGAATACTCGGAGCCGGAGCAGATCCCGGCGCTGGAGCCGCTCCGGGCTCTTCCCGTGTCCCAACTTTTCCCTGGAGCAGGGAATCAGTCTCTGGCCGGGCCATTCCCGAATTTCCAAGGTCAGTATTTCACTCCGGGAACGAATTCCTTGGCGTCTGGATTCAAGGTGCTTTTGCTCTGGGAAAAAATAAAAAAAAAGGATTGGGAATGGGATTTGTCAGCGTTGGGAATTCCAGGGAATTCCCACATCCCAAGGAATTCCCAGATTTCTGGGGTGGGTCAAGGGTTTCCCAAGGTTGGGGGGCTCGGGTGGGAAGTGGGATCGTGGGGAGAGGAAATTTATGGAATTTTGGAATGGTTTGGGTGGGAGGAGATCTTTAAATCCAATCCAATCCCAATCCATTCCAATCCCATCCCAATCCCATCCAATCCCATCCCAATCCCATCCCAATCCAATCCAATCCAATCCAATCCAATCCAATCCAATCCAATCCCATCCCATCCCAATCCCAATATTCCAGGTGGATCCAGCCTGCCCTTGGACACTTCCAGGGATCATGGGGCAATTCCAGGGATGGGACATTCCAGGGACAGAATTCCAAGGATGTGATAAATCCAAGGATGGGACAATTTCAAGGACAGAATTCCAGGGATGGGCCAATTCCAGGGAATGGACAATTCCAAGGATGGGACAATTCTAGGGACAAAATTCCAAGGATGGGACAAATCCTGGGAATGGACAATTCCAGGGACAAGAGAATTCCAGGGATGGGAGAGAACTCCAAGGATGGGACAATTTCAAGGATGGGATAAATCCAAGGACGGGCCAATTCCAAGGACAAGAGAATTCCAAGGATGGAACAATTCCAGGTACAAGAGAATTCCAGGGATGGGACAATTCCAGGGTCAGAATTCCAGGGATGGGAGAAGTCCAAGGACGGGCCAATTCCCGGGACAGAATTCCAGGGCTGGGCCAATTCCAGGGACAGAATTCCAGGGCTGGGACAATTCCTGGGACAGAATTCCAGGGCTGGGCCAATTCCAGGGACAGGAGAATTCCAAGGACAAGAGAATTCCAGGGATGGAACAATTCCAGGGACAGAATTCCAGGGATGGGACAATTCCAAGATAGGACAATTCTAGGGATGGGACAATTCCAGGGACAAGAGAATTCCAGGGATGGAACAATTCCAGGGATGGGACAAATCCATGGATTGGACAATTTCAGGGACAGAATTCCAGGGCTGGGCCAATTCCCGGGACAGAATTCCTGGGACAGAATTCCAGGGACAGAATTCCCGGGACAGAATTCCCGGGACAGAATTCCTGGGACAGAATTCCCAGGCCAGAATTCCCGGGCCGGCCCGATTCCTGGGACAGAATTCCCGGGACAGAATTCCCAGGGACAGAATTCCCGGGCCGGCCCGGTTCCCGGGACAGAATTCCTGGGACAGAATTCCTGGGACAGAATTCCCGGGCCAGAATTCCCGGGACAGAATTCCCGGCACAGAATTCCCGGGACAGAATTCCCGGGCCGGCCCGATTCCTGGGACAGAATTCCTGGGACAGAATTCCCGGGACAGAATTCCCGGGACAGAATTCCAGGGACAGAATTCCAGGGACAGAATTCCAGGACCGGCCCGATTCCCGGGACAGAATTCCAGGGACAGAATTCCAGGNCCGATTCCCGGGACAGAATTCCAGGGACAGAATTCCAGGGACAGAATTCCAGGACCGGCCCGATTCCCGGGACAGAATTCCAGGGACAGAATTCCCGGGACAGAATCCCAGGGCCGGCCCGATTCCTGGGACAGAATTCCAGGGACAGAATTCCAGGGACAGAATTCCCGGGACAGAATTCCCGGGCCAGAATTCCCGGGCCGCTCACCAGGATGTCGTCGGCGCCGTCGCGGAGCTGCTGCTGGAGCTGCCCCATTCCCTGCGGGAGATCCCGCGCCGGGATGAACCAATCCCGCTCCTCCTCCTCCTCCAGCATCTCCTGGAAGCAGCGATCCAGGAATTCCTGCTCCTGCAGCTCCTCCTCCACCTGCCCGGAGAGCTTCCGTGGGATTCTCCGGGCGGGAAAACCCTCGGAGATCAGTTCCCAGCCCCAAAATCCCGGCGGGAACGGCGATCCCGGCGCTTTGCCGGGAATATTCCCGCTTTTCGGGCTTCCCTCGCGTCCCGCCGCCGTTCCCAAATCCTGATTGCCACCCGTGCTTTTCCCATGGTTTCTCCATGATTTTCCCATGATTGTCCCGGGATTTTTCCATTATTGATTTCCCATTATTTTTCCTGTGATTTTCCCGCGATTTTCCCATGATTTTTCCATGATTTTCCTGTGATTTTCCCATGACTGATTTTCCATTATTTTCCCATGATTGATTTCCCTAATTTTCCCATTATTTCCCCATTACTTTTCCTGTGATTTTCCCATGATTTTCCTGTGATTTTCCCATGATTTTCCCATTATTTCCCTGTGATTTTCCCACAATTAATTTCCCTGATTTTTCCATGATTTTCCCATTATTGATTTTCCCATGATTTTTCCATGATTCTCCCGTGGTTGTCCCGTGATTTTCCCATGACTGATTTCCCAGTGATTTTTCCATTCTTTCCCCACTATTGATTTCCCATGATTTTTCCTGTAATTTTTCCCATGATTTTCCCATGATATTCCCATGATTTTCCCCATGATTGATTTCCCTGATTTTCCCATTATTTTCCCATAATCAATTTCCCATTACTTTTCCTGTGATTTTCCCATGATATTTCCATTATTGATTTCCTATAATTTTTCCAGGATTTTCTGATTATTTTCCCATTATTGATTTCCCGTGATTTTTCCATTATTTTTCCATGATTTTCCTGTGATTTCCCCATGATTTTCCCATGATTTTCCTGCGATTTTTCCACAATTTTCCCATGATATTCCCATTATTTATTTCCTTTTTTTTTTTTTTCCTGTTTTTTTCCAGCTTTTTTCCAGCTTTTCCAGGCAAATCCAACACTCGGCCCTGAGCCACCTTTTCCCATCAAAAGACAACATTCCCAGATTATTTTCCTTATGGATACACACGGAACTGGGAATCAGCCCTGGGCCGATCCCGAATCCCGGGAATTCCCATGGATTCCCACCTGCCGGTCGAAGTCCTCCTCGTTCTCCATCCACATGTACTCGGCGAAGGGATTCTTCTCCTTCTCCTGGAGCCCATTCCCAGCCGGATCCTCCTTGGATTTGGGATTGGACGCCGTGGTGCTGGCGAGCTCGGAGCCATTCATCCTCGAGGACTCTGGGATTTGGGAATTTTGGGGGAATTTTGGGAAGGATCTCACGGTGGCCGTGGGATTCCAGCCTGGGGACAAGTGGATTTGGTCCTGGTGGGATTTTCCAGGTTTTGGGAGGCTAAAATCCATCCCGGGGGTTGGGAATCCGTCACAGAGCGTTCCGGAAAATCCACTGCTCCGTCAATCATCCACGGATCCGTCATTCCATGGATCCATGGATCCATCAACGCATGGATCCATCAATCCATGGATTCGTCATTCCATGGATCCATGGATCCATCAACGCATGGATCCATCAATTCAATCAATCCATGGATCCATCAATGCATGGATCCATCAATCCATGGATCCATCATTCCATGGATCCATTGATCCATCATTCCATGGATCCATCAATTCAATCCATCCATGGATCCGTCATTCCATGGATCCATTGATCCATCAACGCATGGATCCATCAATTCAATCCATCCATGGATCCGTCATTCCATGGATCCATTGATCCATCAACGCATGGATCCATCAATTCAATCAATCCATGGATCCGTCATTCCATGGATCCATCATTCCATGGATCCATCATTCCATGGATCCACTGATCCATCAATCCAGGGAACCACCCATCCATCCATGGATCCATCATTCCATGGATCCATTGATCCATCCATCCATGGATCCATCAATTCAATCGATCCATGGATCCGTCATTCCATGGATCCATCAGTCCAATTGATCCATGGATCCACCAATCCATGGATCCATCATTCCATGGATCTGCTGATCCATCAATTCAATTCACACACGGATCCATCAATTCATGGATCCATCAATTCATGGATCCATAAATCCATGGATCCATCAATCCATCAATTCAATTAATTCATGGATCCACCAATTCACGGTTTCATCAGTTCATGGATCCACCAATTCATGGATCCATGGATCCATTATCCATCAATCCATGGCACCACTGATCCATAAATCCATGGATCCATCAATGCATAAATCCATAAATCCATCCATCCATGGATCCATCAATCCACCATCCATTAATCCATTGATCCATTAATTTAATCAATCCATGGATCCATTGACCCATCAATTCATAGATCCATCAACCCACCAATCCATGGATCCATAAATCCATGGAGCCATTGATCCATCCATCCATGGATCCATCAATCTATCAATCCATGGATTCATTGATCCATCAATTCAATCAATTCATTGATCCATCAATCCATGGATCCACCAATCTATCAATCCATGGATCCATCAATCTATCAATCCATGGATTCATTGATCCATCAATTCAATCAATTCATGGATCCATCAATCTATCAATCCATGGATCCATGGATCCCTCCATCCAGGACCGGCTTATCCTGCAAAAGGATCATTCCCAACCCCCAAAACGCCAAAGTCTGGGAAGTTTTGGGAATCTGGGAATGGAGGATGAGGTCAGGGATGATGGGAAAACTGGGAATGTTCCCCTGGGGAAGGGAAAATTCCAGGGAATTTCCTGGACAGGGACGGAGGGACAGGACAGAGGGAATGGCTCCAAAATGGGAAAATGGAGATTGGGGTGGGATCTCGGCAAGGAATTCCTGGCTGGGCTGGAATTCCCAGAGAATCCCTGGATCCTTGGGAATGTTGGATCCACCTGGGATGGGGGAAAATATTCCTGGATGGGATTTAAGGTTGTTTTCCAACCCCAAAGATTCCATGGAAACCCCAAATTCCACGGATGTTTGTAGGATAATGCTCCAAATCCCAGAGTTTTTATCCGGAGTTTTTATCCCAAACATCCCACGGAGAGTGCAAGGGCCTTTCCCAAATCCCGGGATTTGGGATCCTGGATGCCCAGCCTGGTGTCCCCACCTGGGCCAGCATGGAAAATATCCCAAATATCCCATGGGAACGGGGCAGGAATATCCCAAATATCCCAAATATCCCATGGGAACGGGGCAGGAATATCCCAAATATCCCATGGGAATGGGGCAGGAATATCCCAAATATCCCAAATCCCAAATATCCCATGGGAACAGGGCAGGAATATCCCAAATATCCCAAATATCCCAGGGGAACGGGGCAGGAATATCCCAAATATCCCAAATCCCAAATATCCCATGGGAACGGGGCAGAATCCCAAATATCCCAAATCCCAAATATCCCATGGGAACAGGGCAGGAATATCCCAAATCCCGGCCAGAGGGGGAATTTGGGGCAGAGAATTCCCCCAAAAGTGAGGGAGCCACGGGGAACGGGAATGGGATTGGGAATGGGAATGGGACAAGGAGCAGGAATGGGAATAGGATTGGGAATGGGAATGGGATTGGGATTTGGAATGGGATTGGGAATAGGATCGGAACCGGAAACGGGCATGGAATGGGAACAGGATCGGGAACGGGAATGGGAACGGAGAACCGGAGCCGCTCCCGGCCCACACCGGCCGCTCTCCGGGGGCCGCTCCCGGGGGCTCCGCGCCAGAAGCCCGAGCGGGGCTCGGCCCGGCCTCAGCGCCCCCCGGTACCGCCGGTACCGCCGGTCCTCCCGGTACCCCCGGTGCCGCTGTCCCTTCCGATACCCCCGAACCCCCCGGTACCCCCGGTGCCGCTGTCCCTCCCGGTATCCGCTGTCCCTCCCGGTCCCCCCGCTGTCCCCCCGGTGCCGCTGTCCCGCCGGTGCCGCTGTCCCTCCCGGTCCCCCCCGGTACCTCGGGCCCGGCCGGTGCCGCTCCGCGCCTCCTCCGCCGCACGCCCCGCCCCTCCCGCCGCCGCCACATCCACCGCTCCCATTGGCCAGCACCGCCGCGCGGCCCCGCCCCTCAGCGCTCCGATTGGACAGCACGCGCGAACAGCGCGTTCTTATTGCGCCGCGCGGCTGTCCATCATGAGGTTAAGCCCACCCACCTAGCGGCGCGCCGGATTAGCCGCCGCCGGCGGCGCTGATTGGCTGAGCGCACGGCGTCGCCCGCGTGGGGCGGGGCCGCGCGCGATGTAAATAACACCGAGAGCCCCGCCCCCCCGCCTCGGGGTGGAGAATGATTGACAGGCGGTTCTGCCAATGGGGAGAGGCGTCACAAATCCGCCCCGGCGCGGGGGCGCGTTGCTAGAAGCACGGTGATTGGATGGAAGATGTAAACACGGGGAGGGGCGGGGCTGTCACGTGCTCTGCGCGTGGTTATTGGGGGGGGAATCCAAATTTTGGGGGGGGGAATCCAAATTTTGGGGGGGGGGGAGCACCGTAAAGGGTGACCCGGCCCCGCGCCCCAAATTTGGGGTCAGTAACAAGGGGGGGCCCCGCACCCCAAAATTTGGGTCAAGAACGGGGGGGGGATTTCATCCCCGCACCCCAAAATTTGGAGTCAGGAATGGGGGGGATGCAGCCCCGCACCCCAAAAATTTGGGTCAAGAACAGGGGGGGATCCAGCCCTGCACCCCAAAATTTGGGATCAGGAACTGGGGGGGATTTCATCCCTGCACCCCAAAATTTGGGATCAGGAACTGGGGGGGATTTCATCCCTGCACCCCAAAAATTTGGGTCAAGAACGCGGGGGGCCCTGCACCCCAAAATTTGGGTCAAGAACGAGGGGGGCCCCACACCCCAAAATTTGGGTCAGGAACGAGGGGGATTCATCCCCGCACCCCAAAATTTGGGATCAGGAACTGGGGGGGATTTCATCCCTGCACCCCAAAAATTTGGGGTCAGGAAAGAGGGGAGGCCCCGCACCCCAAAATTTGGGGTGCCCCCGGACCCCCGGGAGGGTGAGTGACCCCAAATCCCCCCGGGGGGTCCCCAAATTCCCCCGCGGCTCTGGGGCGGCTTTGGGGTTTTGGCGGCTTCGGGCAGATTTTGGGGATCCCCAAATTTTGGGGATCCCCGGATTTGGGAACCGCGGATTTTGGGGATCCCGGATTTTGGCAATCCCAATTTTGGGGAACCCGATTTTGGGAGTCTCTGGACTTTGGGGATCCCGAATTTTGGGGACCCCGGGAATTGGGGAACTCCGGATTTTGGGAACCCTGGATTTTGGGGAACCCCGAATTTTAGGACCTCGATTTTGGGGATCCCCGAATTCTGGGGAACCCCGAATTTTAGGAGCCCTGGATTTTGAGGATCCCGGATTTTGGGGATTCTGGATTTTGGGGATCACGGATTTTGGGGATCCCGGATTTTGGGGAACCCCGATTTTTGGAGATCCTGATTTTTAGAAGCCCTGCATTTTGGGGATCCCGGATTTTGGAGCTCAAGGATTTTGGGAACTCCAAATTTTGGGGATCCCGAATTTTGGGAACCCCGGGCTTTGGGGAATTCCAAATTTTGGGGATCCGGAATTTTTGGGATCTCGATTTTGGGGATCCCCGAATTTTGGGAATCCCGAATTTTGGGGATCCGGGATTTTGGGAACCCTGGATTTTGGGGAACCCCGGATTTTGGGGACCCCAAATTTTAGGACCTCGATTTTGGGGATCCTAGATTTTGGGAATCCCGGATTTTGGGGATACGCAGATTTTGGGGAACCCCAAATTTTGGGGATCCCGGATTTTGGAGATCCCGAATTTTGGGGGTTTTGGGGTACCGGGATCAGTTTTTGGGGTGCGGGGATCCCCAATGGTGTCCCCAAGGCCAGCGGTGTCCCCAAGGGCCAGTGGTGTCCTCAATGGTGTCCCCAAGGCCACCAAGGCCAGCAGTGTCCCCAGGAATGTCCCCAATGGTGTCCCCAAGGCCACCAAAGCCAGCACTGTGCCCAGCGGTGTCCCCAAGGCCAGCACTGTCCCCAGCAGTGTCCCCAAGGCCAGCACTGTCCCCAGCAGTGTCCCCAGCACTGTCCCCAGTGGTGTCCCCAGCGGTGTCCCCAAGGCCAGCACTGTCCCCGCGCCCTCGCGGGTGCCAATCCCCGACTCGGGGACAAACAGCACCGAGTGTCCCCGGGCGGTGGCAGGTGACAATCCCCGTGTCACCAGAAGGCGACACCGCGGGGACAAAGTGCCACCCCCCTCCCGAGGGCTCCTTGTACGGTTGGGGACAGCGGTGTCACCGCCGGGGACAGAAATAGCGCGGGGAGGGGACAGGAGGGGACAGGGAGGGACAGGAGGGGACAGGGAGGGGACAGGAGGGGACAGGAGGGACAGGGAGGGACAGGGAGGGACAAGGGGGGACAGGAGGGGACAGGAGGTGACAAGGGGGGGACAGGGAGGGACAGGGGGCTGGGGACACTCCGGGGGGGCTGTGGTGGCACCCCAAAACCCCCCGAGTGCACCCCAAAATCCCGGGGTTTTTTTGTGGCTGCACCCCAAAATTTTATCCTCACCCTCCCAAATTTCCTCATTCTGTGGGAATTTCAAGGGAATTTTAAGGGCATTTTAGGGGAATTTTAAGGGAATTTTAAGGGAATTTCGAGAGAATTTTGAGGGGAATTTCAGGGTAATTTCAAGGGAATTTTAGGGGAATTTTAAGGGAATTTCAAGGGAATTTTGAGGGAATTTTAGGGGAATTTTGAGGGAATTTTAGGGGAATTTTAAGGGAATTTCAATTTCAAGGGAATTTGAAGGAATTTCAATTCCACCCCATCCCAGCTCAGGGACAATTCCCACTATTCCCAGGTCGCTCCGATTCCTTTCCTTGGTCGTTCCAAGGATGGAAAACTCATCCCAAGAATCCTCATGGGTGTCAGGGCCTCAGATACTTCCCGGCTTTTTTGGGTTTGTTTTTTTTTTGGAATTACTGGGGAAATTGTCTCTCCATAGAAGACAAATTTGGAATATTTGTTAATTTGGGATAAATCCGCGCGGCTGCAGGAGCGCTGCTGCTGAGGGAGGCAAACCCAACCTTAGGCTGGCTTTGCTCCATTTCAACCCGATTTTAACCCAAACCAACAATTCCCAACAGCCAGATCCCATTTTGTCCCCACGTAAAAAAACGCCGAATTTACGGATTGAATGCCCGAATGAGGATGAAATGAAGGTTTTCAGCGTTAATTACTTAATCAGCTGCCGGGCCCTCACGGCGGCAGGGCGGGAAGCGCTGCGCTACACACAGCAACGCAATAAAGGGGCACGGAACGGAGCAGGCTGATAATTGAGGGCAGAACACGCTGCCCTCAAATCGTATTGTTATTATTTACAAAAAAAAACAACGGCAGAAGGTCCAAAATCCGCAATAAAACACCCAAGGTAAAGAAGTGAACCCCACGGCCGCCAGCGCCGCTCTGAGGCGGGCGCGCGCTGCCGCCGCCCTTTTATAGCGGGGGGCGCGGAGTGGGCGGGGATTCCCCGGGGTGGGCGGGGCTTCCCTTCGCACGCGGCAGCGCGCGCCGAACCCGCGCCGCCGCTGCCCCTCCCGCGCATGCGCAGAGCGCCCAGCGTCCTTCCGCGCCCGCCGCTCCCGGCGCTTCCCCCCCCCCCCCGCCTCGCTGCTTTTGGGGCGCTTTCTCCGCTTTTAGGGTTTTCTCCTCGTTTTTAGGGGCTTCATCCCGCTTTTAGGGCTCCATCCCGGCCGTCCCGGCGGCGGGGGACGCGGGGAAAGCGGCGGTGCCGAGGTAGGAGCGAGCGGCGGCCGCCCCCCCCCCGCCTTGAGGGGGACGCGCGTAATGGCGGCGGTGGGGGGGGGGTGAGGGGCCTTCATGAGGGGCTTGGGGCTGTGGGGGTTTATTGTCTTATTATTATTATTTTTTAATCCTTTCTCCTTTATTCCTTTCTTTTGTTGTCCCTTTTGTCGTTAATCTGTGATTGTTTTGTTTTTTTTTTCGGCACGCGGATAAAGTAAACAGCGAGCTGCAGCCCCGCAAGGGATTGACCGCATTTTATACACCTTTTATACACATTTTATACACCTTTTACACACCTTTTACACACATTTTACATACATTTTATACTCGGATTTAAATCTGGTTTTTAGATATTTTTAGATCTTTAAATCCCGGGTTTACGCTGTTTCAACCCTGGTCCTCCCTCCATTTCCCAAGTACGTCAGACAACACTCAAAAGCCTTCATTTAATCCTCGCTCAAGCTTTTAAATCCATAAATTCAATATTTTTACCTTAAAACGGTTGGGATATGCGTGCTGAGAGTTGTGGGTTTGGGTTAAATTCAAATTTGAGTCGAAATAGAGCAATACCAGATTGGGTTTGCAGCTCAGCGCCTGGACGTGACCTCAGGCAGCTCCTCGTGGTTGGGGGTTAAAAAAGTGGATTTTCCCTTTTTTTCCGTGTTTTAAAAGGGGAATAATTGAGCAGAATTGGGTAAAATACCCGAAGAAAAATGATTTTTGGGGAAGGCCGAGTGTTGTAGCTCTGTAGCATCACGTGGCTTGCAGGAACTTCCTCTTTTGGGGGATTTAAGCTTTTTTAAAATGCAATTTAAGCATGGGCTCCTTGGATATTTTTAGTGTTATTTCAAACCAGAAATGCAATACGGGTTGTTACTTTAATTTTTTTAAAAAAATCTGAATTTATCGAGTAAGTTCTAAGAGTTTTTACATAACTCTTAATAGGTTTTTTTGACTCAGAATCCAAACCAACCCCCCAAAAATCTCCTTCCAGCCCAGAATTGATGTTTAAATGTTGTTGGTTTGGGGTTTTTTTGGCTCTTTTCTCTGCTTTCCTGAACATCTAAAACCTTAAATCAGCTGCTGGGAAGATCGGAGAGGGTGGATCTGACATGAGCTCGTGATTTTCTTTGGGATAAGACACTCTCCAAGGAAAAGGAGTATCCTGAATTTCATTCTCAATTTCTTTTTCCTTGTTTAAATCTGCCCCTGGGGGGTGGGGATGGAAGGGACCAGCCCAACCTCTTCTTCCCCAAATTCTGCTGAAATTGAGAATATTTATCCAAAGGTGGGGTTTTCCAAAGGCTTCTAAAACCTGGATTCCTTCTCTTCCTTCTTTTTCCTTCCCCAATTTTTGGGGTTGTTTCTGTTGCCAGACAAGGATTTATCCGGGTGTTTCCCTTTTATCTTTCACTCTTGGAGGTGAATAAAACCTATTTTCCTACTTCCTTGCCATCAGTTAAATATTCTGCGTGGAATTTGGGCTTTTTTTTGGGGGGGGGAATTTTAGGCAGGAATGTCGGTGATGGTGTCAGGGACTTGTTGCCTGTGTTTAAATTGATTTATTGAGCTTCGTGCTGCTCTGAAAATGGAATTTGAGGAAGATTCCTGGTGTTCAAATGCCTGATTTTGGTCCTGTTTCAGGAATTCCTGGCTGAGAGGCTTGTCCTGGTTTTGGCTTTTTTTAATTTTTTTTAGTTCTGGATAGAAATCTCCTGCCCCAAAGGCAGAAATTTGGGAATATTCCAGGAGATTCCACGCTGGTGTTGATGTTCTGCTCGGGTAGGGATGGAATTCACTTTTGCTGGAAGCTTTGTTTGGGATTTGGGAGCTGAGTTTGGCTTTCCCTGGCCTGGGAATGGGCCTGGAGTGGCTGAAGGGATATTCCAAAGTGTCCTTTTCCATAGGAAATCTGGGATGGAGGAGTGGGAAAATGGGAGTTTGGCTTCCAGCATTGCACAGGGTGGGAGGAATGACTTTGTTTGGGTTTTGGGTCCCTTTTTCCCCCCCCCCCGTGGTTTTATCTCATCCCAGGAATTTTCTTATTCAAGTGTTCCCTTTTTCCCATCCTGGTCCTTTTTTTTAGGATCTGCTTCCTTCAGGCTTTACAATTCCAGCTCAGCCTTTTGCTGTTCTCTTTTTCTTGGGAAATCCAAATTTCCAGGCTGGGATTTGCCCCCTTCCCATTATCCAGGTGCTCCAAGGACCATTCCCATTCTGCCTTCCTCTTCCTCCTCATCCTCCAGGCCACATCCTGATCCCTGGTGTGTCCTGGTGTGGCTGGAACGTTCCCAGTGATCCTGGCTCTTGGAATTCCAAATCCACTGATCCCAGTCGAGATCCTGCTGGATCTGGAGCTGGCAGCAGGAACGTGCTCGGGTCGGGGGGAGGATTTTGCTTGGAGCTGCTTTCACCTCTAAAATCTTGGGAATTTTTGCCTGAGTGGGCAGGTGATCCTGCTGGAATTGCAGAACTTGGAATGCCAGACCTCCTGGAATGCCAGACCACCCGGATCCGTCGTGCTCTTCTGGATTTGGGCCGTGCCGGAGGAGCTGGAAGATCCCGGGATGGAGGGATAATAACACCACGGATAACCCGGAAAATCCAGGAGCTCCTGCTGGAACCGGGATGTCCCCTCCAGGTGGGGTTGTGCTGGCAAGGGGAAGTCTGGAGGTGACAAAAATCCCGGAGATCCAGAGGGTGGTGAAGTGCCCAGAACCATCCGGAATCACGGGAAGGAATTCCCAAATGCAGGAAAAGGGCTGGGAATGCCTTGTCCTCTGGGCTGCTGTGGGTGAGGAATTCTCCAGAGGGAAGGACCGTGGCACCCTCTGGATGCCATGGTGGTGTTGGGCAGGAAGGAGGAGGAAAATTCAGGACTTCCCAGAACATTCCAAGATTTTGCCATCAAACAAAGGAAGAGTGGGGAATCTCCAAAGGAGATCCAGGTCTTGGGACTGGACGCGGTCAGATCCGTGGGGATGTGGTCAGTTCTGGAAAAGCTCTTGGATAGGCACAGCAGTTTTCCAGGCATGGCTTTGCTTCCAGCTTTGTTTATCTGCTCTGGGCTCAGCACAGAGCCAGAAAATTCCATGCTATTTATAGGGACAAATCAGGAAATTCTCCTTTTGGAATTTTCTTTTGGATGAACCTTCTCTGCAACGGGAGAAATTCGCTTCCGCCTTCTCCTGAGGTTCCTGGAGAAAAAGAGGCTCCAGAGGAACCTTGTGGTTCTCCACAACTCCCTGACAGGGAGGAGGATTTGGGATCTGATCCCAGGGAATAACAGGAAAAGAGGGAACAGCCAAAAGAGGTTGGACACCAGCAGGAATTTCCTCATGGAAAGGGTGGTCAAGCCTTGGAAGCACCCAGGGGGATTGGAATCCCCATCCCTGGAGGTGTCCAAGGAATTCCTGGATGTGGCACTGAGTGCCAGGGTGGGCATCGGACACAGCTTGGAGCGGATGATTCCAAAGGTGTTTTCCAGCTGGAATAATCCCAGGATTCCGTGCTGCTGCAGTTTCCTTGCCCTTTTCCTCCGTGCAGGAATTCTTGCTCTGGATCAGTCTCTTTCTGCACTGCGAACACCAGGGAGGGCTTAAAATCCAGAACTTTCCATTTCTCCACCTGGATTGGGAAGCCTGGAAAAATGGGAGGGAGGAGGTTGAAGGAAGGCGTCGTTCGGCTTTTGTGTTGTGCTCTGAAATTCTGGGATTGCCGTTCCCAGGGAATGTTCTCCTGGAGAAGGGAAAAATCCAGGGAGAGCTCAGAGCTCCTTCCAGGGCCTAAAGTGGCTCCAGGAGAGCTGGAGAGGGACTTGGGACATGAAGGATGGAGGGACAGGACACAGGGAACAGCTTCAAATTGGGAAAATGGAGATTTGGGTGGGATCTTGGGAAGGAATTCCTGGCTGGGAGGGTGGGGAGGGGCTGGGCTGCAATTCCCAGATTTGCTGTGGCTGCCCCTGGATCCCTGGCAGTGCCCGAGGCCAGGTTGGGTGATGGGGCTTGGAGCAGCGTGGGATGGTGGGATTATCCCTGATCTGGGGCTGGGATTGGAGCTCTTTTCCCACCCAAACCATTCCGTGATTCCGCCCGCTTTCCGTTCGGCATCGCCGCGGCCCCAGCTCGGAGCCTGGTCCCTGCTGTGGCCTCCCTGTCCCAGCAGCGGCGCTTCCCAGGCTCCAGCACTTCCCAAACAAAGCTGCCTGCAAGAGGAACGTGAGGCTCTCCCTGATATCTCCAGAACATCGTTTCCTCCATCTTTAGAAGCATTTCCAGCATTTCCTTTGGAAAGGTCACTCGGCAGCTCCGTGTCCGCAGCCCTTCCTGGAATCCTGGACTGGTTTGGGTGGGAAGGGATCTCCAATCCCCATGCAGTGCCACCCCCTGCCACGGATGGGGACATTTTCCATAAACCAGGTTGCTCCAAGTCTTTCCCAGCCTGGATCCCATCCCTGGCCAGGCTGGCGAGCTGGGGTTCGCAGAGGTGAGGTGTTATTCCCGATCCCGCTGCGGGAGCTTCCCCGCTCCGAGGTGTCCACGGGAGATGCAGCACCTGGAAATACCTGGAGAGGTAAAAACTCATCCTGCGGGAATTCCGTTTCTGTGTCTCCTTTGGGAGATTCCTGATCCGTGGAATTAAGGTTGGTGGTGTTTCAGATTTCCTCTGCTGATCCATTCGTGGTTGTCCTGGTGATGGGTGGCTTTGACAGCGTTCCTTCTCCAAGTGCTTCCCACAGGGATGGGCTCAGAGGGAATTTTTGTCCTCCAGCGCTGGGAATTCTGGAGAAAACCCAAATGGAAAGGCAGGAGGTGGCTTGGGGAATGTTGGTTCACATTTGTGTGGAAACCCTCTGGAACAAACTTGGCTTCACACTCCTGTTGAAATCCGATTTAATTTATGGAGGGAGGAGGAATATTGGGTGAGAGGCTGGAATTTTGGGAATGCTGACTGGTGGGAATCCGGTTATTGTTTGCTTGGAGAGGATTAATAGGATTTGTGTTTCTCTTGGGCCCGAGGAGGTTGTAAATGATTCCTCAAAAGAACTCACAACCAGATGGGAACAAACTCCGGGAATTGTGCTGGAAAATCCTCCTCTCCTGCCACCTGTGTTTGGTCATTCCCTGTAAGGTTTATTCCTCGAGCCGTGATCTCAGCGTGAACCTCTGCTCGTGGAAAAACTTCCGCTGGAGTCAGCTTGGAAAACAAAATCCCGTGACGGCGCCGGCGAGACGAGAACCTCGGCGCCGCAGGAATTCGGCCCAGAGCTTTGGGAACGGCCGGGAAAACTCCTGGAAAACCTCACGTGTGGCTGCAAGAAGAATCCAGGAGCCAACAGATGGACAAGGGGGGAAAATGAGGAATTCCCGGGTTTGGAGTTTTCCTGGTTTGGGCTGGGAGTTTTTCCAGCTGCTGTTTTTCCAGTGCCGCGTTCGGGGTTGGGAATGGGGACGGAGCTGGGGACGCACGGATGTTGTGGCTGCTGCTTTGTCCTCGCTCTAAATCCAGAATTCCCGGTGTCCTCGCTCGGTCCCCGAGGAGCTGCACAAGGACTTGGCTGCTCTTTGATGTTTTACTGATCTCGGTCTCCATCCCTGACCTGCTGGGACGGGGCTTGGAGCACCCTGGGATAACGGGAGGTGTGGAATGGCAGGAGGTGGAACGGGATGGGCTTTAAGCCCTGTGTGATTCTTTCTCCAGAGCTCTGCGGTGTTTCATTTTCCTCTCCCTGTATTTGTGCCTTCTTTTCCCACCTCCCAGCACAGAATTCTCAGCGATTTCACCCCAAACCTTGACCACGGTGCTTTTTGTGCGGAGATTTGTTTTTCTGTTGTTGTTCCTGTACGATTTTACTCCTGTCTCAAACCCTTTCCATTTAAGCTCTTGGAGAGATGGGATATTTTTTGCCCACAGAATTCCAGCCTCGTCCCACCCTGTGAATTCTTGCAGGGTTTGCTCTTCACCCATGAGAGCGCTCACGGGAGTGTCCTCCTGGAAACTGCTCCGGCCTCGGCTCGGCTCCACCCAGTTGGAACTGGTTGGAGTTCTCCACCTAAATGGTTCCACTTCCAACTCATCCCTCGTCACCCTTCCGACAGAGGGGTTTCATTATTTGCCTCACTGCTCCTGAAATTATTAATTGAGTTATTAATTGTAATTAAACCCGAACTGCTGTCACCAAGAAGTGAAATGCCAGGTTTTAAGTGATGCTGTTGCGAGTGTCACCACTGGCTGTGTTCCCTGTGACATCCAACTCGTTGGGTTAAGCTTGTTAATTACCTGTTTAATTGATTAATCACCTGTTCTCTATATTTAAGCTTTTCACAGCGAAAGAAAACGTACTTTTGTGAATTCCGAGTGCTCGAAACTGTGGCGCAAATCCCGCTTCCGTGCCTCGGGTTGCTTTTCTCCCCGTCCTAGAAGCCGCTGTGAGCAGATGCCAAAGATGACCCATCTAATCCTTGTCTTTTAACTTGCAGCTTTGTGTTGTTCTTGGAAAGTTGCGCACCACTTGTGAATTCCCTGAACCTTGGCCTTGCCAGCCCCCTTGTGTTGGGCCCTCCTCCTTTTCAGCTTGCCCAAATTCAGACCCACTTGGCTCTCCAGCGCCTTGGCTGCCAGCGGCGGGCGGGCACCTCCCCACGCTGGCGCCCGCCAGGCATTGCTGAAAGACGCAATGTTTAGCCCCAGAGGAACCTTGCCCCCGAGGCCCAGAGGACCCAACCCGTCGGGCACCAAAGCCCCGGCAGCTTTCAGGGCCGGCGGCGCGGCGGGGCCGCCCGGGAAAGCCGCGCCCGCGACGCCCCAAGGAGCGCCCCAGAGATTCTCGGGGCAGGACGCGCTGCAGTGGACGGGTTCGCAGAGGATCAACGTCCGCGTCACGCTGCACAGGGCCGATCCCAGGAAAGTCAAGGAGAAGAGCGGCCTGCACCAGGAGCAGAAGGGAGACCTCCGTGCCACTCGCTGGGATGGCGGCCCCGCCGGCACCGCCGGGCCGAAGCCGCCCGGCCCGCCGCCGCTTTTGGAGCAGAGTTCCAACCCGCAGAACCGCTACACGCCCGAAAGCGCCTCCAGCATTTTAGCGAGCTTCGGGCTGTCCAACGAAGACCTGGAGGAGCTGAGCCGCTACCCCGACGACCAGCTGACGCCCGAGAACATGCCGCGGATCCTGCGGGAGATCCGCATCCGGAAGATGGGCCACGCCGTGCCCGGCCTGCACGCTGCCAGCCGGGCGGAGGAGCCGGCGGGCGAGAGCGGCGGCGCCGCCGTCAAGGGCAAAGTGATCGACTACGGCCACGCCAGCAAGTACGGCTACACCGAGGACCCGCTGGAGATCCGCACCTTCGCCCCCGAGGCGCTGCCCGAGGAGCCGCTGGAAGCGCGCGTCTACGCCCCCGAAAGCTTGAGCGCGGAGAACCGGGAAGAATTCCAGCGGGAGCAGAGCGTGCCGGTGGCCGTCCCGCCGCCCAACGTGCCGTGCAACCCCGTGTTCCCGGCCGAAGACCTCGTCAAGCTGCCGGCCTTCCCCGCCGACTCGTCGCCCGCTCCGACGTTTTTCCCCGCCGAGCCGCCGGCCAAGGTGCAGGTGCTGTGCAGCGCCGTGCCCGCCGCGCTGCCGGCGGCGAAGCCGGCGTCCCAGCCGCCCGTGCCGCCGGTGCTGCCGCCCATCCTGCCGGCGCTGCTGCCCGCGCCGCTGCCGCAGCCCTTGCTGCCCCCGGTGATGCCGCCGCTGGTCCAGCCGCCCGTGTCCCAGCACGTGTTGCCCGCCTTGACGCCGCCGCCCTTCTCGGCCGGGCTCTTGGCCGCCATCAGCCAGCACGAGCAGAAGCAGCGCGACGCCGGCGGCGCCCATCCCGCGCCCGGCACCTCCGGCGGGGCGTCGGCGGGACACAAACCCTTCCACAAACCCTTCCACCCGCCGGCACAGGAGCCCATCAAATCCCCGTTCGGGGTGGTGAAGGCGTCCTGGCTGCCCGTGTTCCCGGACCAGAAGAGCAAACGCCTGCCCACCCCGTCCATGATGAACGACTACTATGCCACGTCGCCGCGAATATTCCCACATTTGTGTTCTCTGTGTAACCTTGAATGCACTCATATGAAGGTGAGTGGCTTTCCCAGATTATTCCCTAAACGTGCGTACTCGGCACCTTTTCCTGCCGCTGGTTGTTTTCCCTGGGAATGCCGTGGATTGGGATGCTGGTCGCCAAGTTTGAGTGTTGGGAATGGTGCTAGAAATGATTGTAACGGCGTGTTCAGAGTTGCTTTACGTGTTGGTTTTTATTTATTTTTTTTTAGTGTTTAAAGTGATTTCTGTCTTTGCAGCGGGTTTCAAACAACAAAACAAAACCTCGGGCAGCGGAGCGAAATATTCCTGTCGTGTGTGGGGGATTCAAATCATGTCCGGGGGTGGCTGAGATGTCTGTGTGTTCATTCCCTCCCCTCCTCCTCCTCCAAAACTCTGCCTGAAAACAAAAGAGCCCATTTAGAACCTGAAATTTCATCTTCCAAATCTGCTCTGCGTGTGACAACGCTGAATATTCCAGAGGCTGGCGCGGGGCGACGCGGAAAATGCGTCCATTCATCCTGCCGGGCTTTCGGCCTTGGAGGAAATCACAGTTCCAGCTCTGAAGGAAAAAATAAAGGGAGAAAATGGTGGATATTGGGAGATAAAAAATGTTTTGGAAGTTGTGGGTTTTCTTGGGAAAGCCCAAGGTTTGAGGTGTCAGAAATGTGGGAGAACGTGATATGAAAAAAAAACAGAGTAATTAATTATTGAATGTGTTTGAATTGCAAAGTGTGGAGAGGATGTGAGGGAGGGATTTTTGTAATTTGGCAAAATCCTGGAGATTTTAGGCTCTGTTTGCTGTGAATTCAAAATCTGGCTGAAAATGGGGACGGCCTTGTTAGGGAAAACCAAACGGAAATTCCCAAACCCTTTCCCCCAGGAAGCGCTGAGGGTCGTGGAGATGGGCAGCTGGAAGTGGGAAGGATGATTTAAAATAAAAATGGGTAAAATTGAACAGGAAAACAAAAGTTGGGAGGTGTTAACAAAGGAAAAAAAAACTATTTTGGAAAAAGGAATTAATTTAGATGGGAATTCTCTTGTTTAAGGAGGGAAATATCATTAAAAATCTGTTGACAAATCAGCTCTGGCTGAGGGGTTTGGGGTGCATTGAAGGTGGTGAGATCTTGTCCTGGTGGCACCGCGGTGGGATGTGTTCCCAGGAATCCTGATCCTTCTGCAGCCTCCCAAATCTGCTCCCTGTCCTTCAGCTCCGGCCCGGATTCGCTTCCTTTGGGAAGCGTTGGGTGTTTGTCTCCCAGGGACACAGGAGACCTCCCACGTGCAGAAGAACCCACGAGAATTTGGGAGTTTTTATCCCAGAAATAAAACTTTGACGGAGAAACGTCCAGCTGGTGCGTCCATGAATTGCAGAGATGGAAAAATTCCTCTCGATTCCAGCTCTGCAGTTCGGCGAATCCGGTCGGTTTTGGGAGGTTGGAGATGACTTGGACATTCAAGATTTGTCTTCCCAACCATTCCTTGTCCCGTTCTGGGAGAGCTGGATGGGACCTCAGGTTGGAAGAGCCACCAGATCTGGTGATTCCCAAGGACTCCAGACATTTGATGCTGTCCCTGGCCTGGAGAAATGGATTTCATGGATGGAGCACTGGACTGGATGGTGGCACCTAGAGTTGTCACCAGCTCCGTGCCCGGGTGGGACCAGCCAGCCCGGGATTGGGATCGGCGCCGTTCGACGTCTCCAGCGGTGACAAGGACACCGGGATCGGTCACCCTCGGCACCAGGAAGGTGACACCGAGCTCTGCATTGGGATCACGCCTGGAGAGATGGGACCATGCCAACCTCATGAGGCTCAGCCAGGGCAGGAGCTCCTGGGCAGGACGATCCTGGCGTAGATCCCAGATGGGAAGAGAACGATCGGAGCAGCCCTGGGAGAAGGACTTGGGGTGTCGTGGACGGGAAATTCCGAACGTCCCTGACGGATCCCTGTGCCCTGGGCTGATCCCACAGCGTGGGCAGCGGGAAAGGTGGGAATTCTGCCCAGGTGAGACCCCACCTGCAGAGCTCTGGGGCAACGTCAGGAGGACCTGGAGCTGCTGGAGCAAATCCAGAGGTGGCCATGGAGATGCTCTGGAGCCAGACTGGGAATATTGGGAATGTTCCCCTGGAGAAGGGAAAAATCCAGGGAATGCTCAGAGCTCCTAAAGGAGCTCCAAGAGAGCTGGAGAGGGATTTGGAATAAGGGACAGAGGGACAGGAGCCAGGGAATGGCTCCCACTGGGAAAGGGGAGCTTGGGCTGGGATCTTGGCAAGGAATTCCTGGCTGGGAGGGTGGGGAGGGGCTGGGCTGGAATTCCCAGATTTGCTGGGGCTGCCCCTGGATCCCTGGAGTGCCCAAGGCCGGGTTGGATGGATTTGGATCCACCTGGGATTAGGGAAGGTGGTGGGAATGGGGTGGGATTTAAGGTCCCTTCCAACCCAAACCATTCCAGGATTCCGGGATAACAGGATCCGACTCAGATGAAGGTGCCCAACGAGGAAAACCTTTTCCATCCCACGTCTGAAGACCCTGAAAACAAAATTCCAGTGATGGATTCCGAGTTCAGGCTGTTGGTGCTGAGCACCCCTTTTCCATGGATTTTTCCATGGTTTTTCCATGGATTTTTTTTAATCTCTTCTTGGATTGACTCATTTTGGATCCGACCACACCGCATTGCCATGGGAAGAGAATTCCAGCCCTTGGAATATGAAACCCATAGATTCCCACCTGGATGTGAGATACTCATCCAAACATCATTGGCCAAAACTCTGGAAGCTGAATTTTCCCTGGAAAAAATCCTCTTGGATGTTGTTTTTACATATTTCTAATATATTTTTTTTTTTTTTTTGGTTCAGAAGCTACAGTTTTGGTATTTCCCACCTGAATCGAGAATTTTTAATGGAAAATGGATCAGCTTCATTTTTCAAGCAGGCAGGTCCAAAATGTTGGGAATTTCTGGAAAAAATGGTGGAAATTTGTGGAGGTTTCCGTGGAAGGCGGGGTTGGGGCAGCAGCAGAATTTGACGGATTTGGCCTCGTTTTGATCTCGGGCAGGAAGGGACGTGGTGAGAGGTTGGATTCAGATCTTGAGGAATGTTCCTGTGGGATCCTCAGGGTTGGCTCTAAGGAGGTGCAACCACACCAGGGTGGATTTTTGGGCATTAAAATCAGAATTTGAGGAAAAAATCGATGTTTGGGCCAGATATTCCCAAAAATATTTGTGTCCTGGATCTTTTTTTTAGGGCAAAATTCCCAGTTCCGCTCTGGGATAGGCGGAGTCTTGCCCCCTGCTGTTCCTTTTTAATTCAAACTTCCCAAATCCTCAAAATCTCAATTAATTTCATGGATATTTTATGGAGCAGTTTCCTTTTCCGCTCAGAAATCGCGTCCTGTTGGAATAACAAAGCGGAATTTGTGGGATTCCTCCTTCTCCAAACACTTCACCTCTTGGATGGAGCAGATTTCTTGGAATAACGACGATTCCTTCATCCTCATTCCCATCACATCTGGAATGAAGCGGATTTGAAGCATTCCCAGCACGAGGGATGGGATTTATCCTTTTTTTTTTATCCATTTTTGTTCCCTAAATCCGTTCAAAGTTGGGGGCGACGCCTCCTTGGACCTCAAATCTGTGAAATCCTTGGAATTTTCAGTTTTCCGTGAAGATTTGCACTTGGAATTCCTTTATTGGACGCTTTGCTCCATCACCTTCTGCTTCCAGGATTTCTTGGTGGTGATCCATGGGTGAGAGGAGGTTGGGATGGAATTAGGGAATGTGGGAATGGAGGAGTTCCGATGGAATTCTTCCTCTCGCCGAGATTTGATGGGAATCCTGTACTTTTAGGGGAAGGATTTCTTTGGATTCCTGGAAAAATCGTGGCTGCTCCATCCCTGGAATGTCCAAATCCAGGTTGGATGGGGCTTGGAGCAACTTGGGATCATCTTTAGGTTCCCTTCCAACCCAACCATTCCATGATGATTCCATGGGCAGTGGAATATTCCCAAGGAGTGGGAAAATCCAGGAATGAGATAAAGAGTAGGAAAATCCATAAATCCAGAGGGGTTTGGATTCTGTGGCCAGTGGAATATTCCCAAGGAGTGGGAAAATCCAGGAATGAGACAAAGAGGAGGAAAATCCATAAATCCAGAGGATTTTGGCTGGTGAGGACCTGGCAAGGGGAAGAAGATGCCCAAAAATCTTGGATCAGCAGCTGGAAGGATTTGGGAGCCAAAACCCCTCCTTGGCACCATGGAATTGGAATTCTGGGAGTCAAATTCCCTCTGGCACCATGGAATTGGAATTCTGGGAGCCAAATTCCCTTTTCGTTCGCACCAGGTTTTCCTTGAGGAACAGCTTTGGTTTATCCTGGTTAAATTCAAGCCTGGAAAAATCGGGATCCTTGGGAATGGGATTGCTCAGGGATGGCCTGGAATTAGGGAAAAGCAGCTCGGGATGCTGAAATTGCTGCTTTGTCCTCATGGGAATGATTCCATCATCCTGCTTCTTCAGCTCCATTATTTTATTATAATTATTCCACAGTTGGTTGGATTTTGTGCTGTAAGAGCAGCCGGAAGTTGATTTTTTTGTTTTTCCCCAAGGATATTTAATAATTATCATTGGTGATGTTCCACCATGAAGAATTCCAGAGTTCCCAAGAATTTCCAAAGTTTTCCTGCCTCCTTTTTTTTTTCCCCAGCTCCCTGTTAATATTCCCAGTTCAACCCGAATTTAGGGATTTTTCTGTGGAATTAAATCCTGTTTTTATGGGATTTTTTAAACGATAAACGAGTTTGAAAAACATCCCGAGGCTCCGGAGCGACCTTTGAGCTGTGACATGATGGGAACTGAACATTCCCAGAGCTCCAGGCACGGAAATTCCGGGCTGGGAATGAGATTGGATGTGAAGATGGAGGCAGCTGGAATTGCTCACGGATGTGACAGCAAGTCGTGGATTTCTTCCCTTTCATTCCAAATTTTTTTTGGAGCAGCCTCTGGTGATCCACGTGCTGCTGCCATCCCCGGCGTGGGGGAGTGGATTAATGGATGAATGAATTGATTTAATGAAGGGGTTGAATTAATTGATTGGATCGATTTGTTGAATTGATTGATTGAATTGAGGTTTTTGCTCTGGAGCGTTGATAATCAGCTTTTAACCTCCTGCCTGAATCCCCGTGGAAATTTCGGGTTTTCCCAGGTAAAGAAACGGGGCTGGGAGGTGGAAATGCGGCCCCGAGGGATGGGGAGGATCCCGGGCTTTTCCGCCTGATCCCGCTTTTCCCGATGTTCCTTGTCCCCCCAGGATTGGATCCTGCACCAGAACAACCCCGCCCACCTCGAGAGCTGCCGCAGGCTGCGCCAACAGTAAGGGATCCGCTGGAATCTCCTGGGGATCCGCTGGAATCTCCTGGGGATCCGTTGGGAATCTCCTGGGGATCCGTTGGGAATCTCCTGGGGATCCGCTGGAATCTCCTGGGGATCCGCTGGAATCTCCTGGGGATCCGCTGGAATCTCCTGGGGATCCGCTGGGAATCTCCTGGGGATCCGCTGGAATCTCCTGGGGATCCGTTGGGAAGATCCTGGGGATCCGTTGGGAAATCACTGGGGATCCGTTGGGAATCTTCTGGGGATCCGTTGGGAATCTCCTGGGGATCCATTGGGAATATCCTGGGGATCCGTTGGGAAATCACTGGGGATCCGTTGGGAATCTCCTGGGGATCTGTTGGGAATATTCTGGGGATCCATTGGGAAGATCCTGGGGATCAGTTGGGAAGATCCTGGCGATCCATTGGGAATACCCTGGGGATCTGTTGGGAATATCCTGGGAATATCCTGGGGATCCATTGGGAATACCCTAGGGATCCATTGGGAATATCCTGGGGATCCGTTGGGAAACGACTGGGGATCCGTTGGGAATATCCTGGGGATCCATTGGGAATATCCTGGGGATCCGTTGGGAAACCACTGGGGATACGCTGGAAATCACTGGGGATCCATTGGGAATCTCCTGGGGATAAATTTGGAATATCCGGGGGATCCATTGGGAACCTGCCGGGGATCCATTGGGAATCCACTGGTGATCCATTGGGAAACAGCTGGAGATCCATTGGGAATCTGCTGGGAATCCATTTGGGATCCATTGAGGGTTGCTGGGAGCCCATTGGGGATCCGTTGGGAATCTGAGGATCCACTAGGAATGAACTGGGAGCCCATTGGGGAGCCACTGGGAAACTGGGAATGCATTGGGAATCCACCAGGGATCCATTGGGAACTCATTTGGGATCAACCGGGAATCTCTTGGAAATCCACTGGGGATGCACTGGGAACCCATTGGGAAACCACTGGGAATGGATTGTCAATCCTCCAGGGATCCATTGGGAACCCACTGAGGATCCACTGGAAATCCATTTGGGATCTACTGGGGATCCATCGTGATCCCACTGGGCACCCACTGGGGATTATGGAATGCTGGGGAAGGACCTTAAATCCCAACAATTTTCCAACCCCATTCTAGTTCAGGGACACCTCCCACCATCCCAGGTGGATCCAACCCCAATGTCCAACCTCGCCTTGAACATTCCCAAGTATCCAATGATTCTCTGGGAATTCCTTGCCAAGATCCCAGCCCAAGCTCCCCTTTCCCAGTGGGAGCCATTCCCTGGCTCCTGTCCCTCTGTCCCTTGTCCCCAGTCCCTCTCCAGCTCTCCTGGAGCCCCTCCAGGCACTCTGAGCATTCCCTGGAATTTTCCATTCTCCAAGGGAACATTCCCAGTTTTCCCAGCCTGCCTCCAGAGCAGAATCCTGAATTTTTCCCTAAATCCCATCCATTCCCACCTTCCCTTATCCCAGGTTGCTCCAAGCCCTGCCCAGTCCGGCCTTGGACATTCCAGGGATTTGGGGCAGCTCCAAATTTCCCTGGATTCTCTCCCCATCCCAAGAAAAGCTTTGGGATTTCAAACCTGAATTATCTCAAGATCACAGCTCCCCTTTGGAATCCCTCAGAGTTTTCTCTGGAATTTTCCATTCCCCACTTCCCAGAAGTGGGAATGTTCCAGTGAACATTCCCACTTCTCCCAGAGCCAAGGGATTTCAAAATCCTGGAATGAATTGGGATGCGAGGAACCCTAAATCCCAATTTTAGGGTTGGATGGGAATTGGGATAATTCCCATTATCCCAATTCCCGTCCAACTCCGCTTGCATGAACAAAAATCAACATTTGTCACTTTCGGGATCCCAAATGGGAATTTTTATCTGGAAAAATCCCTTTTTTTTTTTTTTTGGGAATTTTGTCTTTTCCGCTGACATATTTCCCTTTGCCATCGACAGATATCCCGAGTGGAATCCTGAGGCTCACTCCTCCAACAGGTAACTTGTGATTTTAATTCCTTTAATTACTAATTAATTAATTCATTGTAACCGATTATTTTCCCTGATTTGCCTCCCCCAACCCCTCTCCACGAGGTCACGTTTTTGTTATAAAATTTTGGGGGATTTTGACCCAGTCCCCAATCCCAGTCCCATACACCCAATCCCATATCCCAAATCCCATATTCCCTTTCCCTGACCCCATATCCCCAATCCCCACTCCCATATCCCCAATCCTATATCCCAAATCCTGTATTCCCTTTCCCCAACCCCATTTCTCCATTCCCCAATCCCCAATCCCACTCCCATATCCCCAATCCCATATCCCAAATCCCGTATTCCCTGACCCCATATCCCCATATCCCCACTCCCCAATCCCATTCCCATATCCCAGATCCCATATTCCGTTTCCCAGACCCCATATCCCAATTCCCCATATCCCCAGTCCCCAATCCCAGTCCCAAATACCCAATCCCATATCCCAAATCCCATATTCCCTTTCTCTGACCCCATATCCCCACTCCGCAATCCCAGTCCCCTATCCCCAATCCCTTATCCCAAATCCTGTATCCCCTTTCCCCCACCCCATATCCCCACTCCCCAATCCCAGTCCCATCCCACATCCCAAATCCCGTGTTCCCTTTCCCGGACCCCAATTCCCACTCCCCAATCCCATTCCCATATCCCCATTCCCATATCCCAGATCCCATATTCCCTTTCCCAGACCCCATATCCCCATATCCCCACTCCCCAATCCCACTCCCATGTACCCAATCCCACATCCCAAATCCCGTATTCCCTTTCCCTGACCCCATATCCCCACTCCCCAATCCCAGTCCCATATACCCAATCCCACATCCCAAATCCCCACTCCCCAATCCCACTCCCATATACCCAATCCCACATCCCAACTCCCGTATTCCCTGACCCCAAATCCCCACTCCCCAATCCCACTCCCATGTACCCAATCCCACATCCCAACTCCCGTATTCCCTTTCCCCGACCCCATATCCCCATATCCCCTCTCCCCGATCCCGTATCCCCGTTCCCGCTCTGACCGGTGTCCGTGTCCCACAGGCATGGCGCGGAGCGCAAGGAGAACCGCACGCCGCGCCGCCGCTCGGGCTCGTGCAGCCCGAGCCGCTGGTCGCCGTCCCGGCGCCGCCGCGGCCCCGCGGGCCCCGCGTGCCGGCGCCGCTCGCGCTCGCGCAGCCCCGGGCGGGCGCGGCGGGCGCGCTCCCGCAGCCCCGGGCGGGCCCCGCCGCGGCCGCGCTCCCGCTCCCGGCCCCGCTCCCCGCCCCGGGCCCGGCCCAGCCCCCGCGGGAGCCCCCGGCCCCGCAGATCGCCCAGCGCCGCCCGCCGGCCCGGCCGCACCGCGCAAGGTCACTGCCCGAGCGGGGAACGGGAACGGGAAATGGGGAATGGGAAATGGGGACGGGAAATGGGGAACGGGAAATGGGGAACAGGAAATGGGGAATGGGGAACGGGAACGAGAAATGGGAAATGGGGAACGGGAAATGGGGAACGGGAACGGCGGGGACCGGGAAATGGGGAATGGGAACGGCGGGGACCGGGAAATGGGGAACGGGAAATGGGGAACGGGAACGGGAAATGGGGACCAGGAACGGCGGGGACCGGGAAATGGGGAATGGGAACGGCGGGGACCAGGAAATGGGGAACAGGAACGGCGGGGACCGGGAAATGGGGAACGGGAAATGGGGAACGGGAACTGCAGGGACCAGGAAATGGGGAACAGGAAATGGGAACTGCGGGAACCGGGAAATGGGGACCGGGAAATGGGAACGGCGGGGACCGGGAACTGCGGGGACCGGGAAATGGGAACCAGGAACGGCAGGGACTGGGAACGGCAGGGACAGGGAAATGGGAAAAGGGAAATGGGAACTTGGAACTGTGGGGACCGGGAAATGGGAACCGGGAACAGCGGGAACCGGGAAATGGGAAATGGGGACTGGGAAATGGGAACTGGGAACGGCGGGAACTGGGAAATGGGAAATGGGGACCGGGAAATGGGAACTGGGAACGGCGGGAACCGGGAAATGGGAAATGGGGACCAGGAACTGCGGGGACCGGGAACCAGGAAATGGGAAATGGGGACCAGGAAATGGGAACTGGGAACTGTGGGGACCAGGAAATGGGAACCAGGAACGGTGGGGACCGGGAAATGCGGGAACCCCGGGAACTGCAGGAACCAGGAATTGCGGAAACCCCGGGAACCGGGGGAACACCGGGAACCACGGGAACCTGGAAACGTGGGAGGCACGGGAGAGTCCCAGGGGGAATTTTGGGAATTCAGGGGGATTCCCAAAGGGTTCTGTCATGCCCAAAGGGAATTTTGGGAAGGTTCTGTGGGATTCCCAGTGGGAATTTTGGGAAGGTTCTGTGGGATTCCCAAATGAATTTTTGGGAATGCTCAGTGGGATTCCCATTGGGAATTTTGGGAATGTTCTGTGGGATTCCCAAAGGAAATTTTGGGAATGCTCAGTGCAATTCCCGATGGGAATTTTGGAAATGCTTGGTGCGATTCCCAATGGGAATTTTGGGAATGTTAAGTGGGATTCCCAAAGGAAATTTTGGGAATGCTCAGTGCGATTCCCGATGGGAATTATAGAAATGCTCAGTGCAATTCCCAATGGGAATTTTGGGAAAGTTCTGTGGGATTCCCAATGGCTTTTCACCCATAAGTGGAATTTTGGGAATGCTCAGTGCAATTCCCAATGGGAATTTTGGGAATGTTCTGTGGGATTCCCAAAGGAAATTTTGGGAATGCTCAGTGCAATTCCCAATGGGAATTTTGGAAATACTCAATGTGATTCCCAATGGGAATTTTGGGAACGCTCAATGGGATTCCCAATGGGAATTTGAGGAATGTTCTGTGGGATTCCCAATGGTTTTTCACCCATAATTGGAATTTTGGGAATGCTCAGTGCAATTCCCAATGGAAATTTTGGGAATGCTCCGTGGAAATCCCAAAGGTTTTTCCCCCCAGTGGGAATTCTGGGATTCCCAGGATTTTTTTAGGGGTAAATGGAAATGATTTGGGAATTCTCTGACCAATAAGCGCCCTGTAGGTTCTCTGCAGCCGTGCAGCAGCCGGGCATTAATTAAGGACTAATTAAAGACTAATTAAGGACTAATTAAAGCAGCCCAGGAAGGCTCTGAGCCCGTAAGTACTGCGGGCTCAGAGTCCCAAAGAATTCCCAGAAAATTCCCAAATAATTCAAAAAACATTTTAATAATTTTTTTAAAAATCCTTTTTTTTCCGCAAAAAATTTTCATTTCCCCCCAAAAAAATCCTTTTTTCTCCCAAAATTCCCCCCAAAATTTCCATTTTCCCCCAAAAAAATTCCTGTATTTTTCCCAAAATTTAAAATAAATTTTTTTTAAATTCCCAAAAAATTCCCATTTTTTCTCCCAAAATTCCCATTTTTTTCGCCCCAAAATTCCCATTTTTTCTCCTAATAGTCCCAGAAAATCCCCCCAAAATTCCCCTTTGTTCCCCAAAAAATTCACCCAAAAAAATCCTTTTTGTCCAAAATCCCCCCAAAAAATCATGTAAAAATTCAAAACAATTCCCATTTTTAGTCCCAAAAATCCCCCTAAAAATTCCCATTTTTTCCCCCAAAAATTCATTTTCCCACTAAATTCCAAAAAAATCCCCCCCAAAAATTTCCATTTTTCCCACAAAATTCCCAAAAAATCCTCCCAAAATCTCCCACTTTTTCCACAAAAACTTCCCATTTCTTCCCCCAAAAAATCCCCCAAAAATTAATATAAAACTCTCTTTTTTTTTCCTCCAAACTTCCCAAAATGTGCCCCAATAAATTCCCATTTTTTAGTCCCAAAAATCCCCCCAAAAATGCCCGTTTTTTCCCCACCCAGCCGTGGGTTCCCGTTGTTCCTTCAGGCAGCCACAGCCAGGCCGTGCTGGAGGCCCCCAAAATCCAAAAGAATTCTCCTTTTCGCCCCAAAAAACCTCATTTTTTCCCAAAAAATTCCCGGTTTTCCCTCAAAAATTTCCTTCTTTCACCCAAAATTCCCTGTTTCCCCACCCAGCTGTGGGTTCCGGTTCTTCCCTCAGGCAGCCACAGCCGGGACAGCGCCGCACTTGAGGCGCCACCCCAAAATCCAAAAAAAAATCGCATCTTTCCCCCAAAAAATTTCAATTTCTCAAAAAAATGCATATTTTTTTCTCCCAAA